TTAGGCTTTAGGGCTTAGGGGCTTTAGGGTTTAGGGTTTAGGGTGTAGGGTTTAGGGGGTTTAGGGGGTTTAGGGGGTTTAGGGTTTGGGGTTTAGGGTTTAGCATCCAGCCCCCCGGAAGCCAGGTCAATATCCCGTAGTCCGGAATATACCGCATTGCAGAGATCTGAGAATTCCGAATACAAGCAACCGCGAAACCTAGGAGCGCAAATCTCTTATGAAATTTGGGGTTTAGGATTTAGGGGTTTAGGGCTTAGGGCTTAGGGTTTAGGGTTTAGGGTAGAGATGAGAAGGCGTCCCCTGTTTTTGAGAAACGCCGGGATGTACAACTCGAACTCCCGATCTGGTATACCATATAATATACCAGAACACACTCCCAAACCCAGTCTGATTCTGTCTTTGGACTTACCGTGAAACCTCTCAACCCCCAACCCGGCATAGTCCAGTACAAAACCCTCCTTCATGTTCTCTCTGAGCCCTATATTCGCCCCTTGGCTCCAGCAGCTATCAGTTGCCCAAACCACCCTAAACTAAAGCCTAAACCTAGACTCCAGCCCCCTTAGACCTCAATCCCCTAAACTCCCAAACCCCTAGACACCCTTGCCTGAGCCTCGAACTCCCAAACCCCTAGACACCCTTGCCTGAGCCTCGCTTCGTCCCAGTCTTCTGGCTCCACCGCGATCTTACCCTGCGTCGTGGATCTAGTATTCTCGGGTTGAAGGGCACCCAGAGTTGGCACGGACCCTACCCGGTTTAGGGTTTAGGGTTTAGGGTTTAGGGTTTGAAACCCAAACCATGCATAAAGCATCCAGTGTGTTACTGTCTAAACCGGTAGTTGTACAATCGGTGACAACCTGTAAACACGAACAGCTTCGCAGACCTTATGAAAGCATAAGCCTCTGCAGAGTCCCCCCCCACACGGAACCCTAATCGAATCCTATGCAGCCCTCCTTACATCCTGATATGATCGCTGATATTATGCCGCCTTTAGTGGAACCCAGTCTGCACCCTACAAGCCCCGATAAAATCCGTAAGAACCCTGCAAGAATTGCGAGAACGCCCATGTGAGACCCTGGTGTTCCCCTAAACCCTTAACCCTATAAACCCTAAATCCTAAACCCCAAACCCTAAACCTCAAACCCTAAACCCTAAACCCCAAACCCTATACCCTAAACCCCAAACACTACACCCTAAACCCCAAACCCTAAACCCTAAACCTCAAACCCTATACCCTAAACCCAAAACCCTAAACCCTATAAGCCCTAACCCCTAAACCCCACATGGAAGCATTCGCCCGCCTGCGCCCCACGGGCCCGAAGAGTCTCGGTGTTCCTGGGCACAGAAGGCGCAGGGTTTAGGGCCTATAACTATAAGGCTTAGGGTTTATAGGGGTTTAGGGTTTAGGGTTTTAGGATTTACGGGGTTTAGGGTTTGGGGCTTAGGTTTTAGGGTTTAGGGCTTGGGGTTCAGGGCTTGAGGTTTAGGGTTTACAGGGGTTAGCGTTTATAGATCTAAGTTTAGGGTTGAGAGGGGTTTGGGTTTAGGCTTTCTAGGGGTTAGGGCTTGTAGCTTATAAGGGTTAGAGGGGTTAGGGCTTACAGGGTTCTGCAGGATTTTTATGCGGCTTCACACTCGCCTGATGCAGGCTCATGGTGTTCTTGTCTCCTCAAGGCTGTGGAGCTGTACTTGGAGGATCATGGGACTTAGTAACTACGGTTACAAGGTAACTATAATTAGGGGTTTAGGGCTTTAGGGTTTAGGGCTTAGGGTTTAGATATAAAGTTGTAAATAAGGTAACTATAATTATAACCCCAATTAGGCTACTTATAACCTTACTTACTAAACCCTAAACCCTAAACCCTGACTTACTAAGTCCCATGATCCTCCAAGTATGGGTCCCCAGGAGTACAGAGTTTAGGGCTGTGAAGTGTTGAACTCTCCGCTTGGGCTTCAGGATTTGGTCGATGCGATTTGGATTGACCCAGAGATCCGAGATCCCAACAGTACAGGTAATTATGAAGGATTCTATATATTATGCTACAAGTATAATAAGCAACCCCCAAAAATAGTATAGCTTATTACTGAAGACCCTTATAGTAACCCCTTTGGAAGGTTTAGAAATTCGACGCGTGGGGTCATGATCACAACTACATGGCGAACATTGATTACGTAGGCATCATCACAACAAGAGGATCATGGACTATTACTTTCACAACTACGACCCAGCGAGCCCAACTTACCCCTCAAATAAGGAATATACCTTAAACTATAGGGGCCTGAATATTATGAGATTAAGGTATATTCCCTAATTCAGGGCTATTGGGCTCTCTGATCTCCGGGGACGGATCTTGATCGAGAAGGTGGTTTCTCTGAAGGCGGGTTCAGAATCAGACGAACTAGGTCCTAGGTTCAGGTTCGGGTCAATCAAGGCGAACTCCTGCTCAACTAAGCCCCCCCCACCTTAAATGGGGAGTATCGTGGGGCTATTCGTACCAAGGTCCTTAAAGCGAGGAGGTTCATAACTCAGAGGTCTACATTAAAAATTCACCTCAGGCTCAAAAAAAGGTGCATGAGTTCAACCCTGCTCTTCAACACCCAGCAGGGTGGCAGCGCATCTCGGCATAACCTCGTCATCCTCTCTTCTGCCTTTCACATCTCAGTGTCCACACTCTTGGTACCCATAAGAACCATACTCAAAACCCTAAACCCGAAACCTTAATCCTCCAACCCGAAACCCTAAACTTTAAACCCTAAACCCCAAACGCCCAACCCCAGAATCATGAAGGGGATGGGTTTAGGGTTTAGGGTTTAGGGTTTAGGGTTTAGGGTTTAGGGTTTAGGGTTTAGGGTTTAGGGTTTAGGGTTTAGGGTTCCCCACTGACGAAGATAGGAGGAGAGCCTCTCAGGGCACATGGCACGAAACAAAGCGACCCCACAATCGCACTCAAACTGCCTAGGGTTTAGGGTTTAGGGGTTTAGGGCTAAGGGTTTAGGGTTTAGGGTTTAGGGTTTAGGGTTTAGGGTTTTGGGTTACTTGGAGGATAATGGGACTTAGTAACTAGGGTTATAAATAAGGTAACTATAATTATAACCCCAATTAGGGTACTTATAACCTTACTTACTAAGTCCCATGATCCTCCAAGTAATAGGCAGGAAAGAGTCACCATCATGAATGAAAACCATCAAAAAGGAAGGCCGAGTCTCCAAACCTCCGCAAGTTTGTTGCAAACAGAGCTGTCCTTCACCCTTGGTGGGCGCTGGCTGTTTCGAGGCTTCAGGGAAGTCGTGTTACAGCTTGACTCTAAGGACTTTAGGAGGGACCCCTAATAGGGACCCTTAATCCCATTATCTTAAATATCCATTGTATAGTCCTTATATACCCCTTATATAGCCAGGTAGTCTTCATATCAACCCCAATAACCTACAAGGGTCCCTATTACAGGTCCCTCCTGAAGCCCTTAGATTGACTCAAGCCAAGAGACTCCAACCACTAAGCCCTAAGCCCTAAACCCTAAACCCCCTAAACCCTAAACCCTAAACCCTAAACCCTAAACCCTCAACCCTCAAACCTAAACACTGCCCTAAACCATACACCCTAAAACCGACATCCGAAACCTTCAACCAGGAAGCTGAATCCTAAACCCAAGACCCGAACCCTTCATTAAGGAATTTTATGGGGTTTAGGGTTCTTAACTTAGGCATATACCGTAAATCATAATATTAAGGCCCCTGTAGTTTAAGGTCTATTCCTTATTTTTAAGAGGTAAGTTGGGCTCTCCGGGTCATTGCTAGGAGCCCAAGCCCTGTCGTGAGATCTGGTAAAGGCTTCGGCTTCCGAACTCCACTGTTTTCATGAGTATAAAGTGATAGATAGATAGATAGATAGATAGGTTTATGTGGGTGTGTATGTATGCATATATGCATACATGTAGATAGCATTTTTACTCAGGAACACGCACCGCATCCTAACCCCGCCCGCAAACGCTGCATGTATACGCAGAGATGTACACCTGCACATGCATCTAAGACTTGCTCAGTCTGCTGTCGGAAAGCGTTCGAGTATCGCTCGTTTGCCTTGAAGGTCCGGTTCGTAAGTAGCAATGCAGGTCTGAACTGATACATCCATACTAATATAAACTTTGATAGAACATATACCTTTACGCTCATTTGTTGCGGTGCCTGCGACTAAATTTCGACGCCCGGATGATGAAGTAGGGGTGTGTTGTTGCTAGCTGCTAGCACACCGGAAAGGACAACGTAGATGCACACTCAAGGGCCCTCTCCGATGTTGTGCCGTTGTGGCGCGTTCCCTCGGGCGTGATGAGCGCGAAGATGCCCCAACGGGAATCCTTAAGAAAAGCAGTGCTCAAAATCAGGAAGCGTTCCCAGAGAGCCCAATAACCCGTAATTAAGGAATATACCTTAAATCATAATAATAGGGCCCCTATAATTTAAGGTATATTCCTTATTTCAGGGGTATTGGGCTTTCTGGGTAGAAGGATTATTGCCCACAAGATTTGATGGGTCCATGTATTGGACTAATGACTTCCTTACGACTGCGATCTTCGCCAGTACTAGAATTGCGACTGCAGCTGTTAGGGTCGCGCTAGCTACTAGTAGGCTACGAGTATGGCTGCTCTGACTACTTTCTAGATGCTATCATGCATATCATAGTCAACGCGGCTTAATTTTTCCAGGAGCCATGCACTGCACCTTGTAGAGACGGGTTCGTCAATGCTTTGAGCGTCGTGCTCTTTTCTGGAACGCGAAACCTGCCTAAGTCTTAATACATTGCCGGCTGCGTACAGAGGGTTTAGGGTTTAAGGTTTAGGGTTTAAAGGGTGTAGGGAACTCATATGAAGTGCACAATTGCTGTAGGTGGCAATAGTGACTACGATCACCACTGTGCGTTTCTCATTTCCGATTCGGCTTCGCAGAGGCTTAGCACACCGTGCTTTCCAGTGTTCTATGTTTGACGGCTGGACAGGAAACAGAAACATATAGATATTTCTATCACGAATTAACACTTCTGGCCGGCTCCTCGTGAAAGCTGTGAGTGCTGTGGCTGTCTGGGCGTCTAGAACCACGACAAGGATAATGACTACGCCTGCTTATCTGACTTCCTATTTTCTGCAGTACCTGTATAGGGATCATAAACGGATGGTAGCAGCACTAGTTCTAATCAACCCAACAGAACAGCCCCTGATCCCGACACCAAGAACTGAGCAATGAGCCATTGCCCAAAGAGCCCCTTCCTCCTTCTCATGATGTATCGGCCTTGGAAAACTGGAACAGGGTTATAAGGTATATTATGCCATATTTCAGACCCCAAGCCCTCAATCCGAAACCCCAAAACGGTAATATCACTACTCATCATTTGGAACCCTCCCATTATGTTCTCCGGAGCTCCGGTGAGTGGGAACCATCTCCGTCCGTCAGCCACTTGATGTCGAGGCCTTATGAATGGCTGGAATCTTAGTAAGGGTTCTATAGGGATTTTGTCAGGGGACGATCAGGCATCTCTACAGGATTTACAAGGGTCACGTAGAGACCCTAAACCCTAAACCCTAAACTCCAACTAGTGTAGGGGCGTTTAGAATAGAGTTTTGGGGGTTCCTTTCTGAGAACTAAAGTATACTATACCCCAAACCCCATTCGAATTATTAAGGCCCCACAATTACAAGGGTTCTGTAAGCGCCCAGAAGGTGATCGCCCTAAACCCTAAACCCTAAACCCTGAACCCTAGAGTCCTGGCTGCTCCACAGGCTCAAGATCTTATCACAACAGGTTTTCACCGCCGTAACAAACAAAGGGAAACGAGGGTTTGGGGTTTAGGGTTTAGGATTTAGGGAAACCCCATTTCGCCTTGCTTTTACAAACAAGTATACAGTTTTCTGTACAAGGTTGCAGTTTCCTATATAAAAGACCCTGCCCTGCTTGTAGCTAGGAGCAGCTTGCAATGTGGGCATACCATACTGTGAATGTATATTTAAACTGAATGCAGGGGGACTATCATAAAGGAAGACTGTTGGGTTTTGGATCCTTGAGAAAGGCTAGCTCTCAAAGTTAGGATCCTGCTGCAGGTCCACAACAGAGCCCGTGCACTTCAAAACTCACGGCCCTAAGTATACCCTATGAGGGACCCTGATTTGGAGGATCCCCTGTTTCGAAGCCCTTGAATGAGGCGCAGTCCCGACTTTCATGTACCAGGCTCGAGGGCCCTACGCCAAACACACGGAAATGCGAACATCCAACTTAGAGTGACCCTAAACCCCTAAACCTAGAGCCCCCAGATCCTGAACTTGTAACCCCCAAACTCAAAGCCCTTTAAGCAAAGACCTCCAGACCCTTAAACCAAACACGCTCCCGAGAACCCACATGAAGCTCATAAACAAACCTTTGCAAAACCCGATAAACACCCCTGAACCCTAAACCCAAACCTTCGGCAGCGGCTCTAGCTGCGGGCTCCTTACTAGAATTATAGTATAAACAGTATAATGTACCCCAATACCCTATTCTAACTATTCAGGCCTAAACCCTAAACCCTAAACCCTAAAACCCTAAACCCTAAAACCCTAAAACCCTAAACCCTAAACCCAAAGGCCCCTGTTTTAGGTAGCAAGGACGGGAGCTCAGGCGCGGCCTGATGAGTTGAG